TCACAGGTGCTGCTGTTGCAGCTGCCTTCAGTTAACTCCTTCAGTTCCTCCGGCCTGGCACTGGTCGGCTCCCTCCTCTCTCACCAAGGGAGAACAAGAAGTGCCTTAGCAGTCTCTGAGGCCAGCCAGACTCTCTCAGGGACAATTCTGTGTCTTCTAGGTAGGCTGATGGTTTCGTTGCTGCGATCCCACAGCCGATCAATTGGAGCCACCATAGGCTTTAGATCAGTGTTTCCCAAACTTGAGTTTGCTGCTGTTTTTGGACTACAGTTCTCATCATCCCTGACCACTGTTCCTGCGAATGATGGGAGCTGTAGTCCAAAAACAGCTGGAGACCCAAGTTTGGGAAACACTGATCTAGTGCTTGAGGTCATAGCCTTAGAGTTTGGCTCTGGGATATAGCCTACTGCTGTCCAGAAGGCCAACCAGGCTTACATCACTTAAGACCAGGCTAGATGAAGTAGGTATGTGGCATGAGTCTCTCTCCTTAGCACCCATTCAGCTGGGTTCTTGGCACAAGAACAGCAGCACAGCCTCAGCGAGGAACTTGCAGCTCTTCCTATGATGCCAGAATTCAGTTCCCAGTGACCCCTAGCCAGCATGGCTAATGGTTAGGGGTAAGTTTTGGAGTTCTAGTCCAGCAATATCTGCAGATGCGAAGGACAAGCAGAACCTCTGAGGCGCATCTGCGTGTCTCCAGGTAGGGATGCAGACCAGAGGCACCAGCTTCTCCACAGGACTGGGGGAGCCCGGTGCAACATCACACACACACACAAAACATTGTGCAAAATCCTGGTGTTATAAGGTGCCAGGGGCCGGAGATGAATGCCCTCTGAAAATCGAGGGGGCCTGATCCCTCCAAAAATACATTCAGGGGGCCAAAACTGCCTCAGCCCCTATGATGCAAACAGTTCTTCAGATAACCCAGCCCCAAGCTCCTTATGGCCTTCAAAGTCAAACCTGCAATTTAATAGGGCCTGGAAGTCCACTGGTAAGCAGCACAACTGGAGCAGTATTGGTGTGATAGTTCCTGTGCACTCAGTTCCGGCAAGCACCTGGGCAGCCACGTTCCGCACCAGCTGAAGTCTCCATGCTATCTTTAAAGGCAGTCCCGTGTAGAGTGCATTACAGAAGTCCAGATGATCTGCATCTGTAGCAGCACAACCGGACGCCCCCAGCTGCCCTAGCTGCAACAAAACCTGTCTCTCCCGTATCAGTCTCTACAGCTGCAGCAGGTGCTGCAATCTTAGGAGCCAACTCCAAGGGGCCGAGGGGTCTTCACCCCCCCAATAAAATATTTTAGGGGACCAGCCCCTCCCCTAATGATGAGCATTGCCATTCAAATGGTGTGTGTGCACCGCATCATGTAATCAATTATGTGGGGTGGTGCTTACCTGCCTACCCCCCCAAATATTTCATTCAAGTTGGCACCCCTGGCTGCAACCTTCCAATGGTTTGACTTCACCCCAATGGCCCACTCCTCCATAATATCCCAAGGAAAGATGGGATGCCAACTAGTCTAGATGATGTAAAGGACCCCTGACCATTAGGTTCAGTCATGGCCAACTCTGGGGTTGCGGCACTCATCACACTTTATGGCCGAGGGAGCCGGCATACAGCTTCGAGTCATGTGGCCAGCATGACTAAGCCGCTTCTGGCGAACCAGAGCAGCACACGGAAATGCCGTTTACCTTCCCGCTGGAGCGGTACCTATTTATCTACTTGCACTTGGCGTGCTTTCGAACTGCTAGGTTGGCAGGAGCAGGGACCAAGCAACAGGAACTCACCATGTCGCGGGGATTCGAACTGCTGACCTTCTGATCGGCAGCCCTAGGCTCTGTGGTTTAACCCACAGCGCCACCCGTGTCCCTAGATGACGAGGATGAACTAAATTCATAGACCTCTTCACAGGATAAAGCCATCAAATCAGTGAACAAGATATGATCTGAACAAAACACAGAAACAATTAAGGCTAGGTCCACCTTTTGGATTCCTCCCTGATTTCATTCATTCTCAGGGTCATTTTGTACGCTCCCAGTAATAAATTACTCTTGACATTCCCATAGATTCTATCAAGGGTTCCATGTCTAGATTCCTCCCAGGGCTGGGCACGTTGGAGATTATGCTTTGGCTGCAAATGATGGGCCACCTTCTCCTTCCTGCCCCTTGTTCCTTGCCCCAGTTTCAGCAGCACAGGAGTCAGGGTTTGACTCTCTCCCTTGTCCATAAACAGACTGCCATTGTATTCATTGAGACTGCTGTTTCCCTCCTAAACCTCCCAACAAGAAACATCTCTCGCGGTTCAGAGAGTCTGGTTCTCCTTCGGCCACAGGGGGAAAAGTACATTTGGCTTTAACGACTTCGTTTTTCCAGAGGCTGGCTGCACGACGAAAGAAATGAAATATGTCTCGTGCAATTCAGAAATGTTCAGGGGCGAGGGAAGCCCCTTGACAAGATCTGTTTCGGCAGCCAGACATCTGTAAATGCTGCCAGTCGGGCAGCCGCAGGACCCCGGAGCATCTTGCCTGTATGTCCTCTGGTGCCTCGGAGACAGGATGCAGCAGAGCAGGGCCAAGAAGCCCCTGGTTGTTGGGATGAATTATGGACCCTTTGGCTTCGCAAGGGAACCTTCTGTCTGCGGCTGAGGCTCCCCAGAGTCACAGAGGTGGATGCTGGATTTAACATCTCCTGCCTCTGCTCAACTGTGGCAAGGAACCTCCCAGCGTTATCTACAAGGAGAGGAAATAGTCTGGGAATGTGTCAGAAAGGGACAAAGTGCAGCACTGGGTTCAGAATCCCTTTCCCATCCGCTCTCTTGACAGCTGAGGATGAATTCATCACATCCTTCCAGAAACAGACCTGGATGCCTTGTTCCCACTCCACCGTAGCCAGCTGAAAACTCTGTGTGCTTAAAAGTCAAACAGCACCGGCTAGTTGCTCTGTTTACCTTCCTATCTTTCTTTGTTTAAGAGAATTATATCCTGCCCTTCAGTATTTCTCTTCTCGGGGAAGCTTACAAAATTAAACAGTTGGAAATCAGTGCTTTTCTTCTAGGGAAAAAAAAGGTGCTGGTACTGCATACCATTCAGTACCCCCCAGAAAAAAGCACTGAACAAAATAATATTTTTTAAAAAAAATCAATGAGAAACCAATGAGACTGGAGTGCACAGCAGCCATCTGTGAGCGATTTCTGCAGTACTTCCAGGAGAAAGTTGCCCCAGTCTGCAGCACCTTGGGTGATGCAGGACTTGCAAATCCAGTGTCTAAAGTAGCACCTTCATGTACTTGATGGGATCGATTTCAGTTCATGCAGCTTGGTGATGTGAACAGGACACTCGCAATGATGGGACTATTATTATTATTATTATTTCAACTTATACACCATCCTGTACATGGAGGTCTCAGGGCAGTTCACAACAAGACCACAACATATAAAATCAAACAAATGCAATAACCCAGTATCACCCCCCAACAAAAAAGCCACATTCTAAAAGGGTGTTGGATGTCAATAAGATCCACCAAGGCTTGGTTAAAAAGGAACATTTTTGCCTGGTGCCTAAAGGTGTATAATGAAGGCGCCAGGGCGGACTTCCCTGGGGAGAGCATTCCACAGATGGGGAGCCAGTGCAGAGAAGGCCCGTTCTCATGTTGCCACCCTCCGTACATCTCACGGAGGAGGAACACGAAGGAGGGCCTCAGAAAATGATCTCAGGGTCCAGGTAGGTTCATATGTGAAGAGGCGGTCCTTGAGGTATTGCGGTCCTGAGCCATTTAAAGGCTTTGTAGGTCAAAACCAGCACTTTGAATTGGGCCCGGAAACTAATTGGTAGCCAGTGCAGTTAGACCAGGATTGGTGTTGTTGTTGTTTAGTCGTTTAGTCGTGTCCGACTCTTTGTGACCCTATGGACCAGAGCACGCCAGGCCTCCTGTCTTCCACTGTCTCCCGCAGTTTGGTCAAACTCATGCTGGTAACCTCGAAAACACTATCCAACCATCTCGTCCTCTGCCATCCCCTTCTCCTTGTGCCTTCAATCTTTCCCAACATCAGGGTCTTTTCCAGGGAATCTTCTCTTCTCATGAGGTGGCCAAAGTATTGGAGCCTCAGCTTCAGGATCTGTCCTTCCAGTGAGCACTCAGGGCTGATTTCCTTCAGAATGGAGGGGTTTGATCTTCTTGCAGTCCCATGGGACTCTCAAGAGTCTTCTCCAGCACCATAATTCAAAGCATCAATTCTTGGCGATCAGCCTTCTTTATGGTCCAGCTCTCACTTCCATACATCACTACTGGGAAAACCATGGCTTTAACTATACGGACCTTTGTTGGCAAGGTGATGTCTCTGCTTTTTAAGATGCTGTCTAGGTTTGTCCATCACTTTTCTCCCAAGAAGCAGGCATCTTTTGATTTCGTGACTGCTGTCACCATCTGCAGTAATCATGGGAGCCCAAGAAAGTAAAATCTCTCACTGCCTCCATTTCTTCCCCTTCTATTTGCCAGGAGGTGATGGGCCCAGGATTGGTGTAATATGCTCCAACCATCTTCCTCCAGTGACTACCTCCTTGGTGTCTTGATGTGTGGTGAACACGTGATGAAGTGAGTCCCCTGCCCTTAAACAGGTGGTAGTGTATGTACTCCTGCAAAAGCCACCTTGGATCTTGCAGCTGTTAAGAACTGCCACCTGGTCACAAATACCTGTTCTTGAGCAAGTTGGTGGAGAGCAGTGGCAGAGCAGATTCATTTCAATCTGGGTTCAGGCTTGATTTTGGAACTAAATCCAACTTGTTGACCTGATGGGTCAACCTGTACTAGCAATGCTACTCTGCTCCTGCCTCTCAATCTCATCCAGACTTCTTTTCGTGTCGCATTACCTGGCACAGGTCCATGCTTTAAAACGCTCTGTCCAAGCACTTTCCCCACCTCTTCGCCCTGGCAATTTCTGCACAGAAACCTGCTCTTTAGTGCTGAATCAGAACAGATGGCAATCCATGGAGATACGAATTGCCATTTGTTCCGATTCAGTGGCAAAGAGGCAAGTTTTCCTGGGGAAAGCAGGGAGCTCTCAGACACAGAGCTTTAAAGCAGAGGCCTGTGCCTAGAAAACACAGGGCAAAAGTTGGGTGCAGATGAGCTCTACTTTAGGGCTCATATCTGCCAAAAGCTATTCATTCAGTACTGTGGACCAGCTAAGATCAGACAGGCCCCTTCCCTGTTGAACTGCAGGTGCTTGATGAAGAAGACCTTTCCGTTTCAGCAGAAGTCATTTTTAAAGAATACTCTGCCTATTTAGTGTGTGTGTGTGTGTGTGTGTGTGTGTGTGTGTGTGTGTGTGTGTTAATCTGTGATTTCTAATACACTGCTTTATTTTGATTGATGGTTGCTTTTATTGATTGTTGCATTAACTGCTTCATGTCCATCAGTTGTGACACTTTTAGGAGGAATTTCAAAACATCCCTGTTTACTGAGGCATTTGATTGCTGAAAGATACGGTCCCTGGATTTCCATGCTCCTCACACCACCTGGCACTTGGATTTGTGGTTTTGCAGATGGGTGGCAAAACACACTTTGGGACAGCTGCTGAAAGGGCCTGCTGTTCCTTTTAGGGACTGGTATTCTTTCAAAACAAGGACTCCCAGTCACTGTGTCTGCTTCTCACCCACTTCCACTCAGAGTGTATATATTCATAAATAAACCAATGTTAAGAAAACACCCCGAGTGTCCAATACGTTCCCTTCAACAGGAAGCAGCTTCTGCTAAAGGCTGCTCCTGAAATGTCGCACTAAAGGGAAGTACAAAACCAATGCTTATAAATCCATCATCCGCTGCCAAAGAAGCAAGCATATTTTAGCATGAATCTCTTTCTTTTATTAACATAGTTTATTTTCATACCACCTTTCAGTTATAGCTCCAAGGGGAGAAGGCAATTAAAATGAAGAGGATGATTATGATAACCAACTGGATAGCTCAGCTGGTTAGAGCGTGGTGCTGATAACACCAAGATTGCAGGTTTGATCCCCAAATGGGGCAGCTGCATATATTCCTGCATTGCAGGGGGATTGGACTAGTTTCCCAAACTTGAGTCTCCAGCTGTTTTTGGACTACAACCCCTATCATCCCTGACGACTGGTCCTACTAGCTAGGGATGATGGGAATTGTAGGCTAAACGCAGCTGGAGACCCACGTTTGGGAAACCCTAGATGATCCTCAAGGTCCCTTCCAACTCTGCAGTTCTAGGATTCTATGATAAGAGGCGATACAAGAAATGCCGTAAAACAGCCAATTTTATGCCTTCTAGATGTTTTGGACAACAACAGCTCTCATCAGCCCTAAAAGTAAGAGGCTCTTATTCCTCCCCAAACTGCCATGGCATCTGGGGCTGGTGGCAGCTGTTGTCCTAAACATCTGGAGGGCACACAGTTGGGGAAGGCCGACATGAAAGACGTAAAACATGAAGCATCCCTATGACCGCCATCCCTTACAGACACAGATTTCCCCCCCCCACCAGCATGATTTCTGACACATAAAAATGCTGAGAGATGGGAAAAGGCCTCTGTAAGAAGCAACCTGTTAAAATGGTTAAGTTCGTTTCAGCTCCTTGTGAGTGTGACGGATTTTCTCTCCCTAGGAAGCAAACGAGAGGCTTGCAGAACATTTGTAAATGTGTGGGAGAAGAAGCAGAGACAGATGTCCGGCCGGCTTCCCCTTGGAGGCGGCCAAGTTCCAGGCTTCCTCTTGCTTCCAGCCAGGTGGTTTTTCTGTTGTCCGCCTGAGGCAGCAGAGCAGCTGCCCTTGTCAGTGACCCTTTGGCTGTGTGTTACTGGTGGGCAATTCTCCCGTAAAGAATTTGGAGCTCTGAAAGCATGGAAATGGCACAGGGAGAGGCTGCATGGAGGAATGTAGCGTGGCGATTGGGATATTGCAAGTGGATGATCTGACAAAGAAATGAGGACAAAGGAAAGATCTCCTGGGATCTTGTATCAATGGCATCATTGCTGGGGAGTCACCCCAGAGGAACAACCAGAGAATCTGGGGGCCCTTTGCAGGTGCAGCAATTTTGCCTGGGAATCCCTTGCTGGGCCTGCTTAGCACAGGGGCTGGATCAGGTCCAGAGTGGTGGGTGCTGTTCAGAACAGCAAGAAGAGGGTTCCACCATCCAGTGACTTCAAATAACATGAGCAAAACCAAACAAGTCTCTGCCCCAAAGGGCTTCCATGCTGCAGATTGACAGAGGAGAGAGGGAGGGAGGAAAGAGAGGAATAAGGAGGGAAAGAGTTGGATTCCTGAGCCAATGCATTTCCGAGCATTGTTCAGGGGGAGAAATCCAAATACTACTTGCATACCTTGATTCACCAAACGTGACTCAGTGCGATATATTTTTGGGTTTCCAAAGCACATCTATTTCCAGCTTGCCTCAGCCGATACTTGGGAAGTTGAGGGGGGTAGGTGGGAGGCAGATAACATATGACCTGAATACTTTCTGGAAACATCCCAAAGACCTGAAATGTGGGTTATACCTTCTCAATGCTTTGATCCTCCTGACCTTGTTGCTAATACTTTCCGAACAGTTATGCTCACTTCATCAGTGACTCATGGTTGTGTAATAAGCTGAGAGGAGCTTCGGATGTGGGCATGCCACATTTTTGCACAACCGACCAAGTAGTTTCCAGACCCTTGGTCATCTTGGTCACCCACCTCTGCCCACATTCCAACTTGTCCATATCCATCTTAAATGGTGCCGCCCAGAATCGTGCCAGCAGCACTCCAGGTGTTGTCTGAGCAAGGCAGAACAGAACAGGCCTATTACTTCCCTTGATTGGGAAACTGTCCCTCTCTTGATGCAGTCTAGAATAGCCTTCTTTTCCCTGCTGAATCACACTGTTGACTCATGTTAAGCTCGTGGTC